CCGGGCGGCCCGGCCGTGCAAGGACCAGGGAAGGTCCCAGCCAAAAAAAAAAAAAAAAAAAAAACCCGAAAAAAAACTATGTTATGCAGAAAAATCAACTGAACAACGTTTGCCTCAGGGTCACATTGAAATTCTTTACCAATTTTTTTTTTTTTATTTATTTATTTTTTTTTTTAATTTCTTTTTGGCCCGGCCGGGCGAGTGGACCCGGGCCACTCTGGTAGCCTAGACGCGCTCTCGATTCTTTTTTTTTTTTTTTTTAAATTGGATTTCGAAGTCTGAACCCTCCAGTTTTTTCTTTTCTGGGCAGACGGCTCCCATTACTGTATTACCCCTTTTTGGTCATTTAACTTTCACGTACCTGGCCGCAATTTCGGCGTTTTCTGATCGGAAATGTCAAGAAGATTTCTGGGGTTCTTCTTTCGTCAGCAGCACCTTATGATTTCGGAGGCCTCCGACTCGCCAGCTCAAGAAACGCCGAAATCATAAGGTGCTGCTGACGAAAGAAGAACGTCAAAGTTAAATGACCAAAGGAGTACTCAGCCGAGCGGTCTCCTCTGTCTTCGTTTGGCGTCTTCTTTCTTCTCTCTATTCTTCTTCTGCACGGCGAGAGTCTAGGCTTAGGTAGATGATCTGGATTTATTTGAGGGCAAGGCCGTCGGCCGTCAGTGCTCAGTGGCTTGACAAGTAGGTGGTTGCCGTAAGGCGGATCCTGGTGAGTGCCTTCTCCCCCTGATGAGTGCATTCTCCCACCCCTGATTAGTGCCTTCTCCCCCCCCTGATTAGTGCCTTCTTCCTCCCTGATTAGTGCCTTCTCCCCCTGATGAGTTCCTTCTTTACCTGATATGCGTTCTCCCCCTGATGAGTGCCTTCTCCCCCTGATGAGTGCCTTCTCCCCCTGGTGAGTGCCTTCTCTCCCCCCTGGTGAGTGCCTTCTCCCTCCCCTGATTAGTGCCTTCTCCCCCTGATGAGTGCCTTCTCCCTCCGATGAGTGCCTTCTCCCTCCGATGAGTGCCTTCTCCCTCCGATGA